TATTTTGTTGCTATTATTTATTTTTATATTGTTTTTATTAAAATTAATTCAAAATTACTGAAGTTAATTGAGTGTATTTTGTAATTATGATTATTGAGTCGTTCATACGGATAGAGTTATAAGCTTTAACATTCATTTGTATGACGATTATAATAATACTTATTTGAACAATTCAAAAACTTTGACAATGTAACTCTGAACATACTCGAACGATTCCATTTTTAATTGACTAAATTGGGATGCAGTTGAAAATTTGTTCAAAATAAAATAGTTTTGTACAGAGTCCTTAGCGAAGTTTGGAATTTTTATAGCAATTATTTTTTTCATTACTCGTGCGGTACGGAACATGTTGCCTGAATTATTCATATACGATGTCATATTGTGTAGTTCGAAATATTTTCCAGAATAACTACGATACTAAGATATAAAATATGAAAGCTTAATTGTGATTTCAATGTGAATAGAAATTGAATATAAAAGAAAATTTCACTTTGTTGTAAACATAATTTTTCATTATAATTTTATAGTGTATTAAAGAAGCAATCAATTTGTATAAAGAAACTATATTGTTTACTTAATATTATCGTTTATGAACTTTAAATGAATTTAAGCATAATTAAATGAATGTACTTGTAAAGAAATACATAACTATGAAATTTGCATGAATGTATGTTAAATCGTGATATCGTTAGTCACGTCCATGACGGTGACGAACGACGAAGACGCGCCGACGAAGAAAATTATTTCATGAGACTTATTGACTTGTGTCTTATTTGGGACTTGGATATATTTGAGTTTCTTTGCGGCTTCTATTTGGAATTCATTTCAGTCGAATATTAATATTATTATCAGAAGAAGATTCTAGTTTTATATTATGATACTTATAAAGTCAAATGTAATATCTTGTAATTATTAATCTATTCCAGTTAGGAATAGAATTTGAAATTATATATATAATTGAATTTTAATGATAAAAATTATTTGTGTATCATTAGTTTGACCGAAAACTTTATGTTTTATTCATATAGACTTTGGAATGGTTTAAAATTAAACCCAAGAAGAAATTAAAGATTTAATTTTGGTTAAAATAGCTACAAGTAACAAGGCAATCAGTTCAATGCAACTGGCAGCCAACATCTGGTGGGGTAGGCCGGTTCATTAGGTCGGTAGCACGGACGTTCCCAGTGGGCGCTGCGTCAGCGGCTCTCGTTACCCTAATGACAGCGATTTCGTTCCACCCAAGGCGCAATTTTAGTTTAGCTACAGTTTGCTTCTACCCTTCACTAATGGTCTATAAAGCTCCCTTCTTACGTTTATTTCGTTACAATTTTTTGGTGCCAAATTGTATTTAATAGTCTCCGATCAAGACCACCGACCCGCGTAATGATACAATCTTCATGATTGTTAGTAATGACGCTTTCTTTAAACAATTAATGGAATGTTCTACTATTACTAGTTACGAACGTACATAAAGCTTGTGGATGCTTTAATCGAAGGTGTTTTAATTGAACGTCGTTTAGGTTATATTTGTAGGTTTATAACATAATAAGATTTCTTGGAATAAATATAAATGGTGGGATTTATCAACTTCTAAGAAATATTAAATGAGATATAAAACTGGAAAATTACAAATGCCAATATACAACATACTTACAAATACATATTATGTATGATGGAATTAGAAAAGACTTATCGTTATGAAGGGACAAAATTAAATTTATTGGTGTCATCCTTCCAATATATTTTATATAGCAAGGGTACAAATATTGATGAAATATTTTAAAGACTTACTTGTATCATCACCGTCACAAAAATATATAATATTGAAAAAATTACCTCTTTTTTTTATTCTTGGGAAAAATGCATTTACGCATCCCCGCCGTTTTGAGAAAACAGCGGGGTATGTGGGACTCGGTTTTTTAGAAGAAATTACCCTAGTTATAATGTCATAAATTATATTATAATTATTACATAACCGTTTCGTGTATCAATTTTTTTATTATACGTATTTTCAACATATATTTTGTATTCGAGTTGTGTCAATTGGTATAAGTTGCTATAGTCTTTCAGTGGTAATTACTGCTAAGTATATGACTAGTCAATTTCGGCATTTATTCCTTTTTGGTAGATAACGATAACCCGGTCCCAGTTGTTAAAACTAACGGTTGATGATAATCGTTAACTTAGATGTAAGGATTGATTTAACTAACTGCTTCGTCCCCGAACTCTTCTCGAGTAGTTAGTTATATTGATTGTTAAAAATACTAATTACATTGATTAAACATCTATTACATTATACGAATTCCTCCGTTTAAAAATAAAACTGTAGTGTACTTTTAATTAATTATTCAATAATTATTTAGACATTTTCTATGAATAAATAAATCCTGTTTAGTTTGAGAGATGTGTGAAAAATGACGCAAATACTTCTACTAAAAAATCCGGAAAAAAGACTTACTATATTATACTATAATACAATATGATAAGTAAGAAAAATTGTCGGAAATTTAAATTAATCTCTCATATTTATAGACAAAAACGATGAGAAAAGCCAAACAATTTATTTTATAAATTGAAGCAGCTAGAACTGTGTCTTTACTACGTGTACGTATTCTCGTATCCTAAACCTTACAGCCAAAATATCGGGGGCAGTTTTAAATTATGCACTTGCAAATGTTGGAACAATAAGCCATTTATTAAGGATGTTTCCTCTCCAATACAATTTAAAAGATAATTCGAAGAATATCTCCTATTTTAAAAATCAGTATCTATTTTTAAGTGTAATATACTTATAAAATAAAAAATAAAATATTAATATAATTTATTTTTTCGTAGTGCATTTCATGTAATAATGCAATATATATAGGTTTCTTTCTATGTTATTCCTTTTTGTAACTGTTCTTTTATGTAATTGAATAATATATATTATAATTTGTATATATACATAAAAAACCTCTGTAAGATTTTTTAATTATTTAAAAAATAATAATTTTATGTTTTGTATTTAATATATGATTGGAGAGCTCCGAAATGCAACGCAAGAATAAAGCGTATATTTCAATTTATAAATTTAAAATCTTGCTTATATCCATGTAGTACTTATTTGTTTAATATTCATTATTTTAAATAAAAAATTGTAATTTAATACTATTGAGTATCAGATGCAGGAATTGTTAAACTGAAAACAACTATAAGGGGAGTTTTCTTGGTTTTTACTGCAATCTCTATTACGTTCTTTTCATTTTGTTAGCATTATTTTGGGACAAGATTTGTTCAGGAAACAAAAAAATGTCGTTGCTGTTTCTGATTGAGCACGGAGTAATAATTGTATTCAGTATATAACCAGGTTTTCTGTATCAAATAACTAAATGATGTTGTTGGTTGGTTGCTGTATTCATTTTCCTATTATTAATATAAATGTTTCTCATTGAAACAAAAACCAAAGTTGCTTAAACGAAGTCAAAGTCAAAATAAAGAATTAGGAAGGGAGAAAATTCTTTAAAGCAATTCTCGTTAAACGCAAGGTACTATGAAAATAATTTGAAGTAATGACAGGACTATGTATGTATGTGTGAGGATCCCTAAAAATGGACAGCTGTCACTTCCTGGCTATGATTTATCTGAAGGCCAGTTAGCCGCGGGTCAGTTTAATAAATGTATTTTGGGAGTCTTTTTAGTAATAGATGACCCTCTCCAGATGCAATAATTTTATAAAATATTTTCGTTCGAAGCGGACCCAAAATGTATTAGACTGTCAAATGCACATAACATTATTATTTTCGAGGGGAAAGTCATTTTCTACATCTGCGTCTACCTATTACTTAAAATGTAATTTTAGGGTCATTGATCTTAAGACGTTTTGGAGAAGTAAATTAAGTTTTGTTTATTAGGGTGTGATATTTATGTCAGTCATAGAGTGTATTATTAAAATTTTATACTTTATATATGAGACATGTAAGTAAGTTTCTTTTTTAATTGCCTAAACATTTAAAAGATAAAAGTTTAATACAATGCATAAAAGTAAAGACGGCTCTCGTAACAAAATGATTGTCAGTGGAGAAAAGGCCAGCATAATTTGAATAAGTCCAGGCTATCTAGAATTGGCTAATATGTATTTTTTTCTCAAGTATTAGATAAGAAAAAGGTCTAAGCAACATATATAATCTAAATAAAGATAAGTAATGCTACCCTATATTTGGATAACATGAGGCCAATTGTTGTTGAATTGTGCCAATTATCTTTCAACGATACGTTTTAGCTTATCTTAAAATAAAGTAAACAAATGCATGAAAGGAAAATTATTTTTCATGACGTTACCTCATAAGCATGAACTATTTTAATACAAAAAAAATAACTTACATTTTTAAAGGAAAACGTTAAGTGTTATAAAAACAATAAACAAAACAAGTATAAAGGTATCGTCTATAATCTAAAAGGGTGTGATTCATAAGGAGTGATGTTATATTATATGATTCCGAGTACTTGCGTTCTGAAAATATCACATGAGGGAGTGAGTATGACATATAGATATTAGTGATACCGGCCTCGAAGTCAGTTTACTAAATAAAAATGAGGCTGTGAGGGTTGTACGAAGTCGGCAGAGCGCCGGCGCTGGCTGCCGTATTGTAGCCTCAGGCAGTTTGCGGGCAGACTCGCCGGCGCCACATCGCTACCGGCCGCTAACACAGACTCGCGTACGACAAGGCTACGACCTCAGGGCTCGCCTCTCGTGAAACACGTGCTTCATACACTCTACGTAAAGTGAGAAAGTGAGAGTTTTGTTACAATTAGACTGACTTAAAAGTGAGCATGAGTGACAGTGAACCCAAGGTGACGACTTTGTAGCGTGTGTTGTGAATTTATAATGACAACTATGTTTTACTTACGCAACGTTCAAACAGACTTTTGTCACTTTTTGTTAAGGAATAATAAGTTTCAACTGCTCAAAATTCAGTGCCACTTAGTCTTTAATCCCGCTTAAGAACATTTGACAACACGAAATGGCTTTGTTGAGGGAATATTTACTATTAATTTTTATAATATCATGGCAGTTTGACGTATTAATATCGGCATGTCCTAAAATATGTGAATGTAAAAATAATTCAACGTCCTGTGAATTGTGTTCCTATAATGTATTTATTCATGAAAATAAAAACAACTTCAATGTAGAAGTCTGCTGCGAAAAAGATTCAACGCTGTTTCACTGGTTACAAAACAATACGAACAAAACTTTCACGGAAGTCGTAATACAATACAAAAGTACGTGTAATACGAGCAAAGTTGAGCTCGATTTTCCTCAACTGGATACATATTCAATTACCATGATGAATAATAACATAACAAGTTTTCGCCTAAATATAAATACGAACAATATGAAAGAAATGGATTTCACAAGCAACAGATTGGAATATATAAGTAATGGACTGTTTAATAACTTTACGAACCTACGAAAGTTAATTTTACGTCGAAATTTAATTACGATTATCCAAGAAAATAGTTTTTTGAGTCTCACAAAATTAGAAACATTGGATCTATCTGAAAATTATCTAACAGTATTGACTAACGTTTTCTATCCTTTAAAAAATCTTCAACATCTAAATTTAAGTCGCAATAATATACAATTCATTCATGACAACTATTTCAATAATTGGTTACTGCAACATTTAGATATATCACATAATAATCTTAAGAAAGTCACTCCTGGAGCATTACAGCAATTACCTAATCTCGCACGGCTGCTTCTGACAGATAACCCGCATTTGGGGATCACACAGTTGGATACACAGCTTTTAGTTGGTACAGGTCGCAGGCTACAACAAATTGATGCATCGAGAACCGGCCTTTGCCAAGTTCCTGAAGCGTTCACGCATTCGGTACGATTTCTATCTCTCGTGGGAAATAAAATTACATCGATACGATGTGGTGATCTTGATAGTTATCCCCTATTGCAGTCATTGGACTTTTGTGATAATAAAATTATATCTATTGAGGATGATTCATTGGGACGTCTGGAAATGCTTTTGTTTTTAAATATAAACAGAAATCTTTTATCAACAGTACCAAGGTCACTACCAGATGGTTTGGAGTACTTATCGATCAATGAAAACTCTATAAGCAATCTTTCAAAACCAGATTTTAAGGATTTAAAACATCTTCGAATATTGCTGTTAAAGGATAACCAAATTAATTATATTCAAGATCACATTTTTGACGACTTACTTTCCTTAGAAATGCTAGATATTTCTAATAATCCAATAAAAATGTTATCACCGAGCACTTTCGATGGGCCACTATATCTTCGGGATTTAAGGCTTTGTCATTTAAATACATCTGTACCCGAAAAAGATGGGTCGTTTCCTTTGTCATCGCCAGAAAGCGTTCAAATGCTTCATCTTCAATCTAGCCCCGGCTTAGCGCGGCAATTGTTATCTGACTCAGCGGCATTAGCGGCTTTTTCACATCTACAGTATTTAGATTTGAGAATGAACAATATATCAAAAATACGTAGTGATCTTTTATTTTATTTGGGACAGTTGAAAACATTAAGACTACATGGTAATAAAATAAATTGTAGCACAGAACTATGGCTTTCAGATTGGATGAAATGGAATCAAAGTCTAGTAAGTACTGAGACTTGTTATTATTCTACATTAGAATCCAAAGCGGATATGTCTAAATACAATTGTACTTTTCCTGAATCGTTTACCTTAAGTGAAAGCTTACCACCCATAAATTTATATAGTACAGAAATGATAAATAAATTATTAAGATACTATGGTTATTTAAATAATAAAACCGAGAAATTTGAAAATAGCAGCAAAGTATTACGAAGCGAAAAACAGTTAATTAACAATAATATAAACAGATCAGAATATCATAATACTAACAATGGATCATTAGTTAAAAACTTTTCAGATAATAAAGTATTATTGCATAACTTTTTAAATGAAATATCAAATATGAAAGATAAAGGATCATCCAAAATTCTAGATCAAAACAAAACCCAAAAAGATCAATTAAATTCGAACCGTAGATTTTTAGATATCGCATCGCATGTATCGGTAAGGATTCAGACAGAAAAAAAAGATTACAGAGAGATCACAGCTATCCGTAGCGAGGAAATATCTGGAAAACGTTTAAATACACCGGTAATGACAAAGGAAACTAAACCAATTACTAAGTTTATTGAAAATCAAAATATTCATGATTCTGATGTAAGCGAGGTTAACACGGTTAATCCGAATGTTCGATTGAAATATTCATCGCAGCAAGGAGTTTATATTAACTACGCTCAGAACATTGGCATGGCGTCAGTAATTAGTCTCATGTTAGTTTCTGTTATACTGTGGGCGAGTTTTCGTTTGAGGTATAAGAGAAGACAACTACGAGCTTTGAATACTGATATGGAGGACCAAATAGAAGTGTCAAATATATCGGGTGGAGTGTTGTGGTGACATCTTCGTGCAGCCGATCCAACGCCCTTTGAATACGACTCACTCTTAACGTAGCAATCATGTAAGTATTTTAACGTCTCAAAGAGACAACCGGAGTCTAAAGTTTTATCGTCCCACAAAAACATTTTCCTTTAATATTATATGTATTAGACATAGTATTTATTTAATAATGAATGTCATTCTTAATGTTTAGTAAATATTTTATTAAACTACCACCACTAAGAGGAACCGTTCATTTTTATTCTATAAAAACTGAGATTTCTCTTCGCCTTAAATAAATTATTTAAGAATTCCAATACATACTTTAAATATTTTTTACAAATTAAATAATTTTGTAATTTTTCAGTGGGTGGCAATCGGCTGCAGCCAGTTGGATTATTTGTGATAAATCTTAACGTACATATTTTTCTATGAAATAAGTACAAATAGAGAGCTATTCTAAGCAAATCGGTTAGATTTTATCAATGTAAATAATGTAAACATCAATCGAGCGTCGTAGAATGTAATTATTGTAAACAAATATTTTGTAAAAAAAACATTAATTGGTTGTAATTGACTTCAATGTTTTTTGATTGTAAATAAATTACTAATGATTGTATAGAATTACATTAATCTCGTAATGCGTTCGCTCGTTATTATAAAAATTGTTTCCAAACAAATAATTTAATAGCTCAATATCATGATAAACGTATGAATGACAAATGTAATAAATAAATAAACTCCAGTCACTTGAAATCAGTGAAAGGTTTTTATATAAAATGAGTTTAATTTGATACATTAATGATTTTGAAACGATTATAAAAATAAGTACTATTAATCTATGAGTGTTACGCATTACAGACTTTTGTAATATAATGTTAAAGAATTCGCAAAGATCATGTCTTCCCTAATTCTCTTAGAATAACTATTTACAATACTTCATATGTCATTACATTGTGCCAAACTGTTATTTTGTTTTTTCTAATATCATATAAATAATACAATAATCCTTTTGTATGTAGATCAATATACGATCCTAAATAAATTTTTCTTTCCATTGACATATGTATTTCGTATAAATTTAGTAACATATTCATAATTATAATTGTCATAGTAAAGCAAATATTTGGCTTCATTGATTGTATCAAACATATGCTCTGTTACGGATTAGTTAAGGATATTTCATACGCATCACTGAAACCAAGGTTGTAACTCAATATATATAATAATATCAATACTTCAAATTGTGTGTAGATATATGTTTTTACTTTAGTGTAGTCTACGGTGTACAAACGCATAGCCACAGATAATAAATAGAATGAAAGAGCTCTGTGTTTTATTTTATTATCTTTAGAAACTATATAACTTGGGAAGGTCGTATTTGTTTTTTTTTTTAAAGAAAAGGTTCAATGTTTTATTCGAACTCTTTTTACCATCATTAGTCTTGGAAACGTATAAGCTCTGCTTAGGAACTTTAAGATTGAAACTCTCCTTTTTCCGAATTTCTAGAAACTTTTCTCTGTAAGCATTTAGTGTTTAATATCAACAAGAATATTCTGAATCATTGGGACATTAAAATTCTATGGACGTCACATAACTAAAAGAAAGAGAACTTGGCTTTGTCGATATACGTTACTTTGTATTTTCGTACACATATAAACAAAATGTCATTGATTAATTTCTCCGTACATTACATTTGTAAGGTAATGAAGAAGCTAAACATGTGTTAAGACATAAGTTATAGAAATGATTTCAATTTTTATGAACATAAAAAGCTATTTACTCCTTTTCAGTTGTTTGAATTATAATATAAAAATATGTCCTTTGAAAGTAATTTATAAATCGAATGTATTTAAGGAATTTTAAAATATAACACATAATGAAACATTAAAACAATCAGATCAGCCTTATATAGAATTCTATATACTCTTTAATATTTCCCATACTACTCCATCGTAATTATTTTAATACTGTTTATAAGTACTATGAGATTACATTAGTTGTTGGATGATAACTACCTAGCAGAGAACAGAATAAGAATGTTGACAAACTCGTTTTATATCAGAAGTAGTACTTGATGAAATAAATTGAAGCACAAATACTTGAACTACTTTCGAAAAATCGTAAAACAGAATATATATTTCATGCTTGCTTTTGAGTGTCATTAAGCCGACATAAAGTTATACAATATAAAAGATACTGCAAGTTATAAAATATGTAAAACAAATATATGCATACAAAAAAATTATACGCGCAAATTTGATTCAAATTCAGGTGAAATTTCAAGAGTTCTTTAATTTTGAATTTTCAGTTTTTTTTAATACACTGGGACAATAATTTATATAAAACCTTACTTAAGTATTCAAAACGAACCTTCCTTTATTCTTTGAAGATAAAATTTGATAACGAATTAATATAGCTCAATAAAATCATTTTTGGAAGAAAATGTCCAAATTAGAATTGTAAATGTTGAATACTTTGATCTGCAAATAATCCCTAACGAATTGAAATAAACTTCTTAAAATTGTTCCCGTTAAAGAAAAATGTCTCCTGGCGTTGAATATTATATCATTACATCCACGCGCTTTGTGAATAAATAATTTTTAACGGTTCCAATTTGGATTTAAATATCTCGAATAGAAATATAATCTTTACTCATCTATATAAAATATTGAAATATTTTTTTGAGTATTATAATATTTAAATGAGATTATATAATAAATTCCTATGATTATATTGTGTTACTTTAGCAATAAAATTAATATTATTTTCAGATAAGTGTGTTTGGAATACTTTTACGTAATGACGTGTTTTCCATAGTTGAAAGTAATGAAATATGCAAATTAATTACTTCACAATATTAAATGTACATTGTTATATTTTAACCTGAAGTCACATTATAATAAGCAAGTGAACGAACTTGATATTAAGTTGCATTCCATGGCTGCACGAAGATACTCCCAGGAGACTTTTAATTAACTTTTGTTGTGTCGTAAATATATAAAAGCTGGTATCTTTGTATATAATAAATATTACTTGTCAAGACGAAATAGTGTGATATATATTTTGTAGAATATCTGTCAAAGTAATGTTTATATTAATAAAACAGAATATCAATATGGATAAGAAACAGCTTTAGAAGTAACAATTAACCTTCCGTTTTAAAAAACTCCATACTCCCGACGTTTCGGTTATTTAACTGTAACCGTGTACACGGGAAGACGAGATGTTTATTTAAATCCTTCCGTTTTGTTATTGACATTACAATATTTGGTTAATATTATCAGAAATAGAAATTATAGTTTCTATAAAAGGTTTTATTCGGCTCAACCCCCGATTGCAATGGTATAAAATACTCTATCAAGTTATCGTGCGGTGCACAAGCAAATATACTTCAAACGTTGGGCCACCTTCCAATATTTATTTTGGAGCTCGACCCGACAGCGGTAGCCCGCCTTGAGGTTTCAATTAAATTATTCAATATAACCCATTTAAGCTTCTCGTATTTAAACTAAAACATTAACGCATCAATAGAACATATGTATATAAAAGGTAGGATATTATATTAAAACGAATGTCATTTGGGGACAACAAATAAAAAGACACAAAAAATACTGCTGGCAATAAAAATGTGTAAATACTCTTCGATTTCAGAGTATAAGCGGCTTAAAGTCAGGCTCCAATCAGACAAATCCACTTTGGCCAGTCCAAAACGCGAAGAACATTGGTATTGTATATAAAGTTTGCTTAAAATATACATACTGAATATAAATATACAAATAGAGAAAAGAGCTGTTCAGTGTTGAAAAGAAAAAAGTTACTTTTATTTGCTTATTCAATTTCGACGATATAAAGACTGCTACATCATCGGTGTATAGAGTTTTATTTGTTGTGATTTAATATACTTTTTGTAGTAATTGAATTTTGTAATTTTCCATAATAAATTGTATAGACATAATATAAATGTTACCGTGTCTCCGGTACTGCCAGTTTGTAGGTAGTATGTTTGTGATAATATTGTATCATATTTCAGATATCCGATATGAAATCAATTTAGAAAGCTTCCAATGAAACCACTTTAAATTTTGCTAATTGATCATTGTTATATTTTGCTGAAGAAGCCCGACTCTTCTCGCATTACACTCCCCAAGTTATAACTTACTGGTCATGGTTGGAATATTGTAATTAGAACCCTTTCAATTATGTGGTATTGTTTTTGCTTCTTAATTGCCTTTTCTGAGCGTTGGATTATTCTCTCAGCACTGTTACACGGCTGACTTAATAAATCATAATTTAGAGACAAAGGTCGTTAATCCTGAATGTTTTAATCACCGACCCCTATTTAATCCAAGCTCCGATAAAAGCGTTTAATTAAAATGCCAGCTTTAATATTCACACATCAATTTAGTTGAGGCCTAGTTTCTTGAAGCTTAACGGATACAACAAAAGTAATTTCATGCTGTGATTGCACTTACGATCCTCGAACGGGCCTGAGTGTATTATTTTGCAATTACGGATTAAGGCGCCCTAGAAAGTTGGCTAATAGTACGAGGGTTGTTTTACTTTCACTTGAAGTGCAAACACAAATAAAAGATAAGGTATTACGGTTACCCTTTCTATTATAAAAGAAGGAAACTAATTAGAAATAACGTAAAAAGGATTGCTCCTTAGAAATCTCAAAGAATACTTAATTTCAAAAATGTTCATTGAAAGGTCTATAAAAAATTTAAACAATCTTTTCAGCTTTTGTTACAAATTACAAGAACTTCTGTTGTTTAAGAAATGTAGTCAAAAAGGCTTTCAGGTCTCTATTGTTTTATTCTGGAACAATGAAATGCAGAGTCAATGGCGAGACGATACAGCCGCTTAGTATTTTTCTTCAGTACAAAAGTTTTAATATCTCTATAAAGCATTTCATAAAAATGACATAAATATTGACTAAAATATATTTCTAAAGACTAATAAGGTCTTAAAAATTAAATTTAATATTATATTCTAAACCTCAAACTGATATATTTTTA